CCAGGACCTCACCACACTCAGGCTGACTCACTGCATGAGTGAATGGCAGGGAACTGGGGCCAGAATCAAAGCCAGGTCTCCTCCCCTTGGTGAGAGAGCCCTATTCTTGCTGGCAAGGAAGGAGGGATCCCGGAGAGCACCACACCCACGGGCGCAGGGTTTTTAAATTGTGCAGTGACTGTGCCCTCTAGTAGACATGTTTCTACGCATAAGTGTCCCTTCTCCTCATGAAGGAAGAAGAACAGAGGTTTAAGGAAGAGACTGGAAAGATTGCTCTGTCCAGATGCGGATGGATTTGCTACCAGTATCATCATTAGGAAGATTTTTTTTTTTTTAGATGAAGTCTTGCTCTGTCGCCCAGGCTGGAGTGCAGTGGCGGGATCTCGGCTCACTGCAACCTCTGCCTCCCGGGTTCATGTGATTCTCCTGTCTCAGCCTCCCGAGTAGCTGGGACTACAGGCGCCCGCCACCTCACCTGGCTAGTTTTTTGTATTTTTTAGTAGAGACGGGGTTTCACTGGGTTAGCCAGGATGGTCTTGATCTCCTGACCTTGTGATCCGCCCGTCTTGGCCTCCCAAAGTACTGGGATTACAGGCTTGAGCCACCGTGCCCGGCCTGATTTTGTCCTTTTTAATGGCTGTGTAGTATTTCATGGTGTATCTGTACCATATTTTCTTTATCCAGTCTACTGTGAATGGGCACCTGTGTCAATTCCATGTATTTGCTGTTATGCATAGTATCGTGATGGACATATGAGGGATGTGTCTTTTTGGTAGGATGACTTCTTTTCCTTTGGGTACATACTCAGTAGTGGGGTTGCTGGTCAAATTCTCAGTTCGATTCTCAGTTTTCTCTCCACAGTGGCTGAACTAATTTACACTTTGTATTAGTCAATTCTCACACTGCTATAAAGAACGATCTGAGACTGGATAATTTATGAAAAAAAAAAAGAGGTTTAATTGACTCACACTTCCACAGGCTTAATGGGAAGCATGGCTCAGAGGCCTCAGGAAACTTACAGACATGGTGGAAGGCAAAGGGGAAGTAAGCACGTCCTACCATGATGGAGCTGGAGAGAAAGAGTGAAGGGGGAGGTGCCTCACACTCTTTTTTTGGGGGGGGGATGGAGACTTACTCTTTTGCGGCTGGACTGCAGTGGTGCGATCTCAGCTCACCGCAACCTCTGCCTCCTGGGTTCAAGCAATTCTCCTCCTCAGCCTCCCAAGTAGCTGGGATCACAGGCACCTGCCACCATGCCCAGCTAATTCTGTGTTTTTAGTAGAGATGGAATTCCTCCATGTTGGTCAGGCTGGTCTCGAACTCCCAAGCACAGGTGGTCTGCCCGCCTTGGCTTCCCAAAGTGCTGGGATTACAGACGTGAGCCACCGTGCCTGGCCTAGTGCTACACACTTGGAAACAAACAGCTCTCATGAGAACTCTATCACCAGACAGCACTGGGGGATGGTGCTGAACCATTAAAATCACCTCCATGATCCGATCACCTCCCACCAGGACCCTCCCCTAACATGTGGGGATTACAATTCAACATGAGATTTGGGTGGGGACACAGAGCCAAACCATATCACACTCCCACTGACAGTGCATCAGCAGCATTCCCTTGTCTCCACAACCTCGCCAATATCTGTTATGTTTTGACTTCTTAACTGGTTTTAACTGTTTAAAGCTGTTCTGGTCAGGCGTGGTGGCTCACACCTGTAATCCCAGCACTTTGGGAGGCCAAGGCAGGAGGATCACCTGAGGTCAGGAGTTCGAGACCAGCCTGGCCAACATGGTGAAACCCCATCTCTACTAAAAATACAAAAAAATTAGCCGGGCGTGG